ATTGGTGGTGGTGGAGGGGAGTCCCCATTACCTGTAAAGCGCTTTGAGTGGAGTGTCCAGAAAAGTGTTATATAAGTGTAAGCAATTATTATTATTATTATTATTATTATTATTATTATTATTATTATTATTGTACTGTATCTAGGATCCTAGTACTCAGCCTTTCACTCTAGTCAAAGGCAGATGTCTCTCATAGTCTGCATTGCTAAGACTTTGCGGTGTTCTGCTCCTCCAAGCTGGGTCACTTTCTTACCTTTTCTCGACCTACTGTAGCAGCTTCTTAGATTCTCCACAGAAAACAACCATTTCTCTGCACTGAGCATGTTCTTCGCTTTTTTCATCACGTTATCAATCAATCAATTCTCCATGGAATTTCAATTCAACCATGGCCACTTCATCTCCTTTTCTGCTCCTTCTCTCTTTTGCTAACTTTTCTGTGTTAACCCCCCTCCTCCCCTTTTCCCTCCATTTTTGGTCAAGCATCCTAAACCACTGCATCTACAGACCAAGGTTTTTTTCATTGTTTTGTCAACATATCAGTTGAGTTTGAATTTCGTAGCATCTGTTTGCTGACTTACTTTTCATTGTCTGCATGAGAGGTATTCTCATTCACTTTATTCCACATCAGTATTTGTGTATATCTTTGTAATATGTGAAGTATTTTACAGTATGAATCTGCTTGATTAAATACACACATGCATCATACGCACTCCTCTTTGATTACATGCAATCCTATCAGTTTCCGAAGCTTTTGCAACCAGACTGACTCACCCCAAGATCTATGTTCAAAGAAATCTGAATTGATGTTTTGGAGATCCGTTTGGGTGTTGTGAGATCTCTGACCTTCGGCTAGGGCAACCATTTACTCAGACAAGCAAGTATCATATTCCTTTATATATGTGGGGTCATTTTATTGGAATTTTGAATTCGAATGAACTACTGAACAGCTGAAATAGTACTGTTTATTAGAACCTGGACATTTAATAGAAGTTGATGACTGTTGATGAACTATTACACATGCAGTAAATTTTTAAGACAACCAGCAGCTAGATCACTTAGTGCCCTTTTCGCAAGTAGGGGAACCTTAAAGTTTACTCTAAATATAGCAATGAACAAATGCAATTTGCAGAATATAGCCTACTTCAGAGTCCAGGGTAAGCGCCACAATGATAAGGGCCAGAATTTTGAGTTTCTTTTCTGAGAGCTCTGTCAACAGCTGGTATCCACGCTAATCCACCCACAGAGTAACACACTGGTGGAGTGGTTTAAATTGAAAGTTGTGACCAGATCAACACTCATCTCCAGGCAACAGAGGAACTGGATCAGAAGCCTTTGGTGCTGTTAGTCTGCCAGTCACACGTACTGGTGCAAAACAGCAGTACTAATGTTTAGTAGGGAAAACCAAGGTGTTCAGCGGGCCAGCTAGCCCTCTAGAGTTTGAGACTTTGTTTCTGGGGAATAGGTCTGGCTGGCTATATTACCCTCACCTAAGAAGGGCCTGTTGGCCAGATTTTTTTCCTTTCTTTGGAGATTTTTGCAGTTCTGGATAAAATCTCAGATGTGGTATTAAGGGTCCATTTGAGATCAAGGCAACTGTATGTGGTGGTTTGCAGGAATCATATACTATAGATCAATGTAGATCAAAGGAAATGTGGACTCCCCTGCCAGACAAGTAATACAAGTAATAGCAATACATAGAAAGACTTGCAATGCATGAATCACAATTTAGCATTTGTGATATTATTTACTGTACCTCCATTTCTATTTGCTTAGTGTCTGAATTCTGGAAAAGGAATTTCACTCGTGTCTTTCCATCATCAGATGACCCTTTCAGCTGTGAGAATTTATATTTCCACAAAACATTCTGGAGAAAAAAATCATACATGTTAGAAATAGAAAAGAGTGAATTGTTGAGGCAGTTTTAGAGACATACAAAACAACCATAACTAGGACATTCCTGAGTATAAAAATTAAAATTAAAGTATGACTGTTTCAGAATCATGACACTATAAATATCTTAGCAGGCAGCATACTCAAATTAATTTACCGCTGATCAAAAATATTAGATCAGATGTGGTGTACATAATTTACATTCTAGCATTTGGGTGCATGATATTTATAATAGCATTTGGTAACTTTATTTCTTTTTAATTAAGTCATTTGTGTACTATTTTGTTCTTTGGAGGAAAATATAATATAATAACATAATATAATGTTATATTTTTTAACACATCTCAGGTAAACAAACTCAAGCTGATTAGTTATTTCTAGTTATGAATATCAAATAGTTTTAGAACACAAAAACAGTGAGTACAATGAGAACAATACTAATGAAGAATGGGGGCAGAACATACTTTTGACTTGACGTTAAATAAAATAATCTATCAACTACACCAATGGTCCAATGGTGAGTTAATGCTCACAGGGTACATACAAATGGTTACAAAAAATGCTGTCATTTTTATCAAAAATTAGCATCTAATAAAATAAACACAAAAACAATTCCAGGTTTTATCAATACTTTTTGTATATAACTTGGTAATTCTAAAATTTGATTCATATTTCTTTCAATCAGACTCTGCCAGCACATGCTGAGCGACATTAAATCAGTAGATGTAGAAGAGTTTCATCCATATTACATATTACAGCAGTTGATTAATGTAATCCTTGCCCATCAATTTAATACACACAAATACACAGTAATTAGCTTATACTTGCTTTGGTTTCAGTAACATAAAAATACATCTTGGATGTACTTGATTTCCTGCTGTTTTTAATGAACATGAATCAGATTTACACTTTGTTAAAAAATGTCAGCAGCATAATAATACTAATACAAAATCAAGAAAAATACAGCCAACTAATTTAATTATCTTGACAATATAAAACTAAACTCAAAATAATGAGAAACATTAATATTGTGTTCACCATTTACGCAACAGAACAGCTCATCACTAGTATTACATATATTTTATTGAAAACACAGGGAATGACTGAATAAATGGTATTAGTAATGGTATCATTTTTTTAAAGATATTTAAACTATTTTTTGTGTAACTAATGACGTTTAAATCTTTTTAACCATTGTGGACAGTGCTGGCAGTATAACCGCATAAATGTGTACTTTACCGGTTGTCATTACAAATTAAAATTTGTTGTCATTTGACTTAAGAATGAAAAGGTTTTCTTAATAAGTGAGTGCTGTAATTAATTATACGGTTATCTGTTTAGAAAAGGCACCTTCTCTCTTCTTAATTGAATTAAATAATTAAATGTCTGTGTAGTTGTGAAATATGTAAATTACACAATTTTAATCAATGCTAATAAATAAAAAAATAATAAATAATACATTATTTATTTATTGTAAGTGGTAAAAACCTAGTAGTTCATTTATGTATACCCTATAAAGTGTAAACAATAACATTTAGCAATGAACAATATTTAGTTTTGTAAGCATTTGTTTGTCTGGGAATCCATAACATGTTTGATAACAATTTCAAAAAAAGCTTTTTTCAATAATTACCTTAGAAACGTTGTCAGAACATGTGAATCCAGTTTCAAAGTCAATGGTAAAACGTAGGATCTTTCCTTGACTGCTGCATGTATATGTCCTTGACTGTGAGGAAGACAGATACAGTGTTCTTATGATATTAAAGCACAGAATTGACAGGAAAATGGTTTTGCTTGTTAGCTTTCATCACAACACATACACATGCAAATGTGTTTATTTACCTAGAAGAAATAAAAGATACTATGCTTTCCATTAAAATCTAAGCCTCTAATTGCATAAATCAAAGTAAAGAAATATCACACAACAACCCTCTGCACGTTTCAAGTATAGGTGATAAATTAAACTGGGTTTTAATTGGACAATGTCAATGTTCTGTCTTCAAAAGATCTCTGGCTGTTATTGTCAATGAATATTTAAATAACTAATTTTTCCCATTTTTCCTTGGATGGGCATGCTTAATAATAATGAGGAATATATGAAACATTTTCAGTACATACTGTACTTTTGTGTCTAAAATGTTAAATCTGACATTAATAAGGAACAATCTTGATATACCAGATACACCTTGGAGATTCAGACTTGAAGATGCATTGGTTATAATAAGCAGCAAACACCTCTGATGGTTAAATAGCCTTATACTCTGCAGTAGTATTTCTTATTTAGGAAATCTCTAGTAGGCACCATCTGGATTTCTTAGAACATCAAAGTGAAAGATTGTATGAAAAGTAAGAGCACAAATCACTTTAAATTGATGAACTAGCTCACCTAAAGTGTATTTGATTGACTGATCTGATTACATGACAAGGCCAATTTGCAACTGAACAGATTGTCAAGTGTAACATTCCTACATATTTACTTATGCCTATTAAAGACAGATTTGTCAATGTCTGTATCTGATGGGTAATAATTCAGGACATACATGGGGCAAAGCTAACACTGGGAGGTTTTGCATTAATTCAGTTCATTGGCTTAACTAAAGGCACTATTAATATTGTCTATTTAAAAAAAAAGATTACTTTTACTATATCTGCCATATAGAGAGAGAGTAAGAAAAAGCAATCTGCTGCATTGATCTTCTGTTGTTTTGTGCTGCATTACTTTAGGTAGCCCTTGTGGTCTACAGTGCGTACTGTAATTGATCATTTTACACTGCATTTCTTGGAAAAGATGGCAAAATAGGTAGTAAAGTGCCAAGGTGGCTAGCACTGCTGTCTTTCTTGGGTCTTGGGTTTGATCCTAGCCTGAGGCTACTTCTTCAGGAACTTTCATGTGCTCCCTGTGTTGTTCATTTCTGTTGTCTAGATCACACAGTAGTCTTCCACCTCTCCACCACACTTTCATGTGTGTCTGAATTGTTCCTGTGAGAATGTATATCCTGTGAAAGACTTACATCCTATACTTACATGATAGATTCTGGGTTTCTGTGACCCCTGAATGTGTTTTTAATAATGGATGGATGGGAAATACTATTTACCATGAAACTATCAAATGATACAGTAGGTTAAATATGGTTTGCACAAACATAATCATTTACTTAAGGTAAAATTTTATGTGAAGGCATTTTGACTGTAACTGTACTTTGCTGTAACATTACTTTTGTTGTATTTTAGAAAGAAAACATACCAAACTGAACAACAAACAATACTGCTTGCATTTTTAGCCTAATTAGCTCCAGTTAACTCTACAATTCTCTCAAAGGTATTTCTCCACAGGAGTTATTTCCTGCATAATAAACAAAACAAATAATTGGATTTGGAATAATAAAAAAAAGTTTTTTTTCATTTTTCCATACCAGCTCACTCAATCTCAATTTCAATTTCAGTTGTTCAGACACATTAATTTTTAAAAAACTGAACCTGAGCTTGCCAAGCAAATACATGAGCTAACCTACTGTACATGTATGATGACTGGTTCCTCTCTGTAAAATGTCAGTCCTGGCTTCTTAATGATGAATGGCATTTTTTACATGATTTTGTAAAGCTGCGATGTTCGTGATATACATCCATAATGATATTCTGAACATGAAAGGCCTTGAGATTTGTGCTTTGTTTTTTGCCCACTTCTTATTAATCCATAAACAACTCTGCCAAAATATTTCAAACACCCAAATATTCCCAAATTATTATTATTTTTAATTTATCCTAGAAACAGAAGTGCTTTGAGGAGTTATTGTATACCATAATTTCTCAAATTAGTATGTCTTTGTTTTTCAATATGTACGGTATTTTCAAATAATTAACACACTAGAATGCAAAAAATGCAAAATAAAAAAAAGTATTAATATAGGTAGAACGGTTGCTTATGAACACTTACAAACAATTATGTATTCTTTTTTTTATATTTTTAAATTCAAACATTTTAATATATTTGTTACAGTACGTTGATGTGTCAGCCCTCAATGATACTCAGCCCGTTTAATAATCCTTTACTTAACCAGAAAGTCAGTCATGAACAGTTTCTCATTTACCACAATGACCTGGCCAAAACATTAACACTAATATTACATAGAAGGCAATGCAAAGGACAATCAATCAATAAATAACATAACAGGGCATAACATGCTCCAGAAGGACACAGCACTCTTTAGAAGTGCAAGAATCAGACAGAAAAGTTTCAGTTATGCAATTGAATACAACCTCAGGTACAAAAGTACAGAATACTCTTACTCTGCAGAATATTCCAGTCTTTGGCAGAGGCAAATTGAAATATCACATGCCCTTAATCAATAGTTTAAATTAAGTTTGATAAAAGTAATAATAATTAAACTGAGAGTTTAATACAAGAACCAGCAGTAGATTCTTAAGATACAGTATGGAGGCATTTTCCCAATAAAAAATCTGTAACGTTATTTCCGCTTATAAAATGTGTTTTGATTATATAATGACAAAAAGGCATGATCATATAAGATCATAGCTCTTGTCTGTACTACATTCTCTAGAACACTGTGGGAAATTGGTGAAAGTCAATAGGTCAGATGGCATTTTATAAACCAGAAAGCAGGTTTCCAACTGTTTTTTTTGGAGATATATATTATTGTACAACACCCTGCATTTTTTTTTCCACTGTGGATTTCCTTTTTTTGTTTATATAATATTAAATTTTCCGTGATTTACCAATCTAAAAGCCACTGAACCTCAATTACCCAAGTTCACTATTAACTACTGTAAATCACGTGGCATTTACAGTAAAAAAGTGCTGTGGCTTGAGATTTAACATTAAACTATTTTGCTTTAACAGAACATGGTGAATATAGAAATGTCTAATAATAAGGTCGTGTAAGGCATGACACATTTCAGCATGGCCTGTCAAGGCCCTATTTTAATCAAGCAGCAGATAGTATCAAATACAAAAAATGTAAATACTGTATGTACTGTAGGACGTTTTCTCCCTGGAAAACATGTGTTTCTCTCTCTTTCTCATTACTCTAATGGTACCTTCTCCACACAATGATGTACTGTATATACAGTACAGTACAACAAATGCTAAAAAATATTTACAGAAGATACATACTGTAAGACTGATTCAATCAGTACTGATCAATGTGGTTTTCTGGATTCAAGTACTGTATGTGTTCAGTAACCTCACAAAACAATCTTTTATTTCATCCATTCATTCATCCATTTTCTAACCTCATCTAATGCAGGGTCGTGGGGGAGTTGGAGCCTGTCTAGCAAGCAATGGATGCAAAGCAGAATACACACTGAACAGGATGCTAGTCACAAAAACAGACATTTTTTGGGGTGTTGGTATGAAGTGAAGAAGCTAGTCAGAGCCTTTTAGTTTCCTTTTCTACACATTGCTAATTGGATGCTCTTTCAGATACAGTATATTTATTCAGGAGATGGAGCTATACTCAACATTAAGACAATTAACGCTTCGCAAATTTGCATGTCATCCTTGCAAAGGAGCCTTGCCAGTCTTCTCTGTTTTGTTTCACAAATGCTCTGACAAAGTGAACAATAAGACAAGGAAATTGTGTATGAAAAGGCAAAAATTATCTTGTTCCTTTATTGTTGTGTAACTTTATAACACTTTTGACCTTTTCCCCTGTGATGTCATACCTGAGCAGCTCATCATCTGAGCTTGGAACATCAAGTTCCCCCACACATAGCAGTTCTCCTCTGCACTACCTGAAGTGTTCACACCTGAAGAAGGCTCCACGGCCGAAACGTTGTGTTCTCTTTCTTCTTTTTTTCAGCATGGAATAAACCTATTACTTGTTCCTTTGCAGCCTACGCATGCTGACGCAGCTACCCACCTGAACTATAACTATACTATACTATAAAACTATGTCAGAAATAGTTTTATTGAAGATTACCTGTACAGTGTGTGCCCAAGTGTACAGTATGTACTGACAAAGTTTTATGGTGATTTCTCTACGCACACTTTATTCACACAGATTACTATACATATACTCCTTATACTTCTTTAAAATTACAAAGGCAAGAACTTAACACAGTGCTGCTTAACTTAAATCTAAAACTAGATCTAATTCTAAAAGTAGCCTAATCTCATCAGGTATCAGAATCTAAGCTTGAGTTTGCGCACTGTAACTTCCCTAATTTTCCATAAAATTCCCCTAAAATATAATTGATTTACAGTATTAGTTCAATTTGTAATACAAAGTCATTTCTCACCTTTCTAGATAATCTAACAGAGCAGTTGTCACGTGTCACAAAGGTACTGTAAAAGTTGATCTTCAAAGGTGAAGTGGACCATTTTCTATAGTACAGTACTGTATATACAATATAAATCTCTTTGGGATGAAAGATGCAATATTCATATGTCTAAGGAATTCTTATTAAATGCATATATGTGTTCTTAGCTGTTTGAAACATCAGTAAAGTACTGCTTTTGTATAATAGAAATGTTTAATTTTTAAGGTTCCACCTGTTCTGCACGAATGATAGGCTCATTTAATCTGATACAAAAAAGCAATCCTGATTCAAAGACTTTTTGGTCCAAATTACTGTATGTAGCTTCAGTATTTATTCAGTAGTCTTACATGTCATCCACTTGCATAACTTGGAAAGAATTCCTGGTGGGAACTGTGTCTTTCCTGCTCTGTATGTGAAGCACACCTCACCTTGTTTGACTCTCCTTGA